ACTATAATATGAATCAAAAATCTCATTTTTTGTTGAAAGGTCCCCAAAACCCATTTTTAATAGCAAAGCTCCCATATTATCATGTGATTATTGTAAAGAAACTTTTACTATGCCTTTAAAGCTTTTTTTTACAATTTTTTCAATTTCTCCCTATATCAATGGATATTTGATATTGATGAAGAAACCAATATAAATTTGGATGTAAATGGCAGTAATGTTGACAATTTTCTTGATTCAATTCTGCTGATAATGTTGGCCACATATGGGAAGCAGTGAAGAATGAAAATACGATATCTAAAAATTTGCCTGAAAATGAAAGGTTTAAAATTTTCTTCCAGTAGAAAAATATATAAATTAACCAAAAGTCTTAAAAAGTCAGGACTCAACTATATTAGACATAATCGTTGAAACCAATTAGAAAAATACCAATTGATAGAATGATATTGCTGTCATCGTTATGGTAAATACCTTAGTATTAAAATTGCAATAAGCATAAAAGGAAATAAAGAAGTGTGGTTGCAAAAGTTATACAGAATATGTTATTGCACAGGCGTGCTTAATAATGGTATGATGTAACATGAAGTACCATATCAGACCATTAAGAAAGCCACATCAATAACAATTTTATTACACTGTTCGCAATGACCATCATTCAGAATTCATATCCGTTATCTGTTAAATCAGATATCTGACGGATATTAAAATACTCAGATTAGACGAATACAAAATTTTGTATATCCGGATAATTCAACGGATATCCAGAAAATGCCTGAATATCTGTATTATCTGTATTATCTAAAGGATATCTGGATGATCAGCTTGCATAAATTTTTATTATAAATTGCTGATTTAATAAAAAAAAACAGAATTTTTATACTGAAATAAAAAGTATGCATAAAATAAGAATGCTATAAAGTAATTTTAAAGTATATATACATCTAATAAACATGAAAAGTTTATTTAACTTGCAATAATTGGTAATTTTTTCTCACAAAAAAAAACAACAATATAAATAAAATAATATGAATAGGCACGAATTATGAGAGCTACGCAGTAACAAAAAAAATAATGAGATCTCTAAAATAAATGAAGCAACAATAATGAAAAAAGCAATAAATAACAAAAAAAAAAGTTAAAAAAACAAGAAAATCAAAAACTAAAACAGGACTTGTATCACATTATTTACCACAAGCTTTATAAAATTAAACTTTAGGTAATTCTAATTTAATTGATATTGAACGAAGTATATTGGGAGAAAAAGATATAAACGAACCATCAGTTCTTGTTGATAGTATAGAACAAGGTCATAGCTTGGAAATTTTTTCTAATAATAAGCAAAGTTTTATTTGTAATATCTGAAAAAGTTACCACCTACAGAAAAATATAAGAAGCGTGTTAAATGTTTTGTCAAAATTACTGGTCAACCTTGTGAAAATATATAAAATCTAATGATAACACCAGAAATTTATTTTTCATTTAACAAAGCATTATATTATACGTTAGGCTGATCTGTCACAGAATAATGAAAATGTTGAAGAATTTCAAAGTAATTCTGCTAAAAAAAATCAATTAGACAAGAAGTTTGTTGGAATTATTATAAAAGATGATCAATTATTAAGCATTAGGAATAATGAAGGTTTTCGTAAATTTATGAAAGAATTGGATCCATTTTACGAATTACCAAGTGATAAAAATGTGAAAGAATTGCTAGTTAATAGTTATAATTATTGTAAAAAAGAAATTATTCATCTATTTGAACAAGATGTTACATTATACTTTTTAATCTTAGACCTTAGACATCAAGGATCAGGGCTGATTACTTAGGCATAACTTGTTCATTTGTAAATATTCAATTTAAACTTTGTAAAGTTACTTTGACAATTGAATATTTAAAATATTCATATATAAGCAAAAATATTGTTGATTGTCTTAATCAAATCAATAAAAATTGGAATTTAGATGGAAAAATATTTATTATAACTACTGATAATAAAAGTAATATAGTCAAAGCTAGTAAGTTACTTAAAGATTATAATAATATAATTTTTTTTATATATTACTCATATGCTACAATTAGTAATAAGAAAAGGTCTTATTCTAGCAGAAAAATTAGTTGTATAAGCAAAACGTTTAATTAGTTTCTTCACTACATCAAAACAAACTGAAAATTTAATCAAAATTCAAAAAAAACATGAGACGTAATCAGAAAGAAATAAATGTTTATTAACAAAGATATTTAATGTTTATAATAATGATTGAATCATTAACTAATTTTTAATATTTAATTTCTAGGATTTAAGTGAAAATGATCACTATTTTAGACTCATCTCTAATGTACCTATCTGTTAGAATTTATTATACTTATTATATTTAACATGAAAAAATTTTATGATTACATTGATGTAATGTTAATGATTATATTAAGAGATAAAGATTCTACAATGCGAAAAAATAAAAAAAATTAATAAAATCAATCTTACTCAAGATGAATGTGTTGTTATTAAATAAATAATTATAATTCTACAACCTTTTGCATTAGAAATCAAGCTTTTTGAAGGTAGTAAATATGCAGTAATAAGCTTTATATATAATGCAATTACAGAAATTATAAATGGAATTATTATTAGCTCTAATAAAATTGACCCTAAGGAAATTGATCTTACTAATTCTATTACGATCTTTAACAATGATATTAGTATTAAGATTCTAAAGAATTAATAATCATCTAAAGTAACGAAAAATTTTAATAAATATTCTATAGGATTGTAATTATTTAATTAGAAAAATTAAGTCAGTTTTATATATAGCAATAAGATATTATTGGATTGTACCTAAAGATGATGGATTAATAGCTACTTTCTTGAATCTCAGATGTAAATTTCTTAGTTTTGATCTAAATCACAAATAATTAGAACAAAAGATCTTTTACAAGAAATTTATGAAAAATCAAAGCAAGATTTAGGCATAATTCAAAAAAAGCAGAAATCACAATTACCTAGTAATTCTTTTCTTCAAATATATTTGTTAATCGTTATTAACCTAATAAGCATGATGAAATTGAATAATATATAATAATGATTGAGGGGATAAGCTTTAGTATATACTTGTCTTTTTAAATAGTAGGCATCTCAAAAATCATGATTTCTAATCTTATCACAATTAGCAAAAAAAATACTTGGCTATTCTAGCAACATCTGCCTCCAGTAAAAGACTATTTTCTGATGCAGGAAATGTGATGACAGTTAGGCATGCTAATTTATTACCACCTACTTTTGAACATCTAGTATTTTATAAAAAAATTGGCATTTGATTGGTAAGATTTTTTCAGAATCAGATTAAGTTGTATTTGGTATAATATAAAATTCATATGTAAGACAAATATTATGTATTTGTATATTAAATATAGATCTTTAATAAATAAATCATTTTGTTTTTTAATATTGTAAATGCTAATTACTATAAATTATTAATAACTAATCATATCAGCATCAGCAATAAAATTTTGAAAGTATTGAATAAAAATTAGTCATTATTGTAAATTGAGATTATTATTTATATCTAAATGCATAAATATAACAGTATCGAAAAATAAAAAAAATTGATTTATTTTTAATTGTAACAAAATTTTAATTTTTATATAAATTACTTATTTAATTTAAATAATTTAAAATCATTATATTATTTATTCACTTCAGTCGATAATCACAGGCCAAATATGTCTTTTTGAACGAGAATTATTGACAATTTTTTTATTATTAAATTAAACAATCATTGCATATTATATATATAATTTTAAAAAAATTTTTTAAATATTATCTTCTATTTATTGTTCAATAGTTGTATATTTTTAATATTGATCAGCAATGATATTAAAGTTAAAAAATTTTTCTACTTGTAATAATACTGATCTGCCATAACATTATAAATTTAATTGTTAGGAATAAATAAAATAATAATATTTACCAAAATAAAATAAGATAAATTTAAAATAAAAATTCGTTAAAAAGCCTGGATATCTGGATAATATTCGGATTATGCGGATTATATCCAGATAAATTGGTTGGATATCCAGATTGGACAGATACAAGATAATCGGATATCCAGATGGACGGATATAAACCCTACTTATCCTACTTATCTAAAATCATTCCTCTATTAAATAATTTTTTTTAACTTTCCTCACCTCTCATTCACAATTATTATTTTCAAATTCCTCAGGTAAAACTTAATTGTCCTTGTCCATAATTTCATTCTCCCCATTTATTATCATCTAATATTTCTAATATTTACCCAATTTCATCAATTACCTTTTCTCCTTTAAGATTACAAAGATAATAAGATCCACATGGTGGATAGCGTGTTATATGCTCTATAAAAATACCAACAAAAGCATCCTCACTACAGTGTAATGAAAATGTTTGCCCCCTCCCTGCGGTATGATTCTTTTTGAGCCGCTTTTACCATTCTTTAATTATAGTCTTTTTCAAGTGTAAAAGTTCTGAAGTTGAAACTGGTTGAATATGTGATGGAAGTGTATTTTATTATATATGTATCAATGTCTCATGTCGTTGTAAACCTGCACGACTTTTGAACCCTTTAGTACGCCTTGTACAGATCGAACAGTAGAATCTTGAACTTTAGACATTTGAGATCTATAAATAACGGAAAACTATTAGAAAAGATAAAAAATAAAGAAATAATGCTTATACGGGTTTTATCAATAACAGTTAAATAAAATAAATGTTATGTTCAATATTGAACGATCAATGCAAAATAAATTCCATTATAAAAAATATAGGTCAAACAAACTCAGCATGATCCTATAGGGCCGTGCGATAATAAACAATACTTACTATACAATAAACAATTCAAATATCTTATAAAAAATTTTATAAAAAACACCCGGTAAAATAGAATATTCATATCGAAACTCGTTTCTCGGCATTACTTTCTTCCGTAACACTCGGTTGTTCCGAGTTAAACTATAGTCGGGTTAGGGTTTTGTAAATGCTGACCCGAATATTTTTAACAGTTAATTTACACTCTCGAGTCGGGTTCAGGGTTTCTCAGAAACCCGACCCGACCAGAATCCCTTCGCAGCCATGGGTATATTATGGGGTTTATGTTTCATCATATCATTACGATGCATTATAAACATGTTCGTTTTCTCTCGGGTTCAATAAAATAGAATATAAATTATAATTTATAATATAAAGAAAGGATTTTATTATTTATGTCGATTGACAATAAATGCATATTTATTTAAAAATTTGCTCGTTGATATTAAAAATTAAATGGGATATTGTCTAAAAAACGCGCCCAAACAAATTCTCATTCAGAAAAAACTCTTACTTTAATTATTAGACTTTTTTGGAGTGTAATGAAATCATTTTGATTGTGCATGCATTATTGTTTACCAATAATGAGAGCACAAATTCTATATCAAAAATAAAATAAAAAGATCATCCAATCTTAAACTAGGTAAACGTAAACTAGGTAAACGGAAAGATTAAAGATTATTAAATTTATAATAAATACAACAATAAGATTATACATTTATTATTTTGACCTTAGCCTAGTCGGCTATACGGTATTTATGCAGCTACAGAATCAAAAAAATATTCAATCAGAAAAATTCGGATTAAAATTATACAACATAATTTCTTTATTGTCCAGAGCAAAATTGATAATAACGTTCGTTAGGTTATGAAATTTGTGGTGTGTGTGTCACTTACACGGCGTCGATTTATGTATTTATCCTATAAACATACCGTAATAGATTAAGCCCTAAATTATTTTTAAGGGAATCAAATATTTGCAGCGCAATTTTTTCAAATGAATATGAATATTTTTATTCTGTAATTTCATCCGTCATATTGAATGCTAAAGAAATTTTTATTCACCTCTGGTTCATTAATTTACTTTAAAGGAATCTGTTCGTTAGAATTCACTCAAATTAAAATTCGAGAATTTATTTCTTTGATCTGGGACAATGATTATTTATACTTGAAAGGTTCATTACATTAAAAAAAAATTTTATAAAAAAATTACTAACCATGAATAATGGAATCACATAAAAAATTTATAAATTTATATAAAGTTTATCAACTAATTTAAATAATACAATTCAAAAAATAAGTAACGGAAAAATATATAATCTTAAAATCTTAATGTTTGTAAATAATATCCATAATAGATTTTTGTCTTTGAACATATGAGAATAAACTTTGTAAACAAAGTAAATAAGCGAATAACTAAAGAATTTTCGATAGAAATTAAATAAACAAATTGCGATAGGAAATAAATATTACGATATATATATTATTGTTATTTAGAAAATTCGATTTCATCATTAAAGAAAGAAGCCACGAATAAAAGAAAAAATTTTTAACGAAAATAAAATACGAGGATAAATACATAAAATACAAAAAGATTTCGAGTAAAATTTTCTGCTTGATTAAAAGGGAAACGATGATGGCTCGAATATTAGAAAATAAAACTACGAACAAAAAATTTATTAAAGTAAAATTTGTTGAATAAAATCAATAAAATCATTGATATCTTCAAAACTTTCCGTAGGTATTACTGTGAAATGACAATCACTTATCATTCCTTTAGGTAAATTATTGGCTTCATTTTGATGTCTCGAATTTTCACATTCGATTTCTTCTGTCTTGGCTACCTCAATTGCATTGACTTCTTTTAATAATTTTTGATCACGATCAATTTGGTATTGCCGTTTCAATTTCGCTTTTTCGTCCGCAGAAAGCCTTTTCCACCATTCTGATACTAGCTTACTGTATTTTGTCATGGGCATATTATGGGGTTTGTGTTTCATCATATTTTTACGATACATTATAAACATGTTGGGCTTTCTCCTCTTTGGGCCCTTATCATTGGAAGATAATGTCTCGGGTTCAAAAAAGTAGAACATTAATTTTTTCTGAATCGATTTATTTACAAGGGAAGATGAAGAAAGGACTTATTTTTTATGAATATTGACAATAAATCGAAATCATGTACATTTATATAAAAAATTTGCTCGTTGAGATTGAATTTCAATCGGGGTATCTTCTCAAAAAAACGCGTTAAGTACCGCTCAAACAAATTCTCATTCAGAAAAACTTATTTTGATTATCAGAATTTGTTGCTTAGTCAATAATAATATGTACTACACCATTAAATAAAGAAAAATCTAGATAAAAAAATTAAAACAATGTTCTAGGGCTTATGGTAAGTGATTTTCACGCCTTGTTCATAAATTTGAGATAAATAAACTACCGGATATCCTCCGGATGAACTTAAAAGGAATTATTACTAACGTTAATTTTATATAAACTAAAAAAGAAATTTTTTTTTTACTTTTTTACAATGAAATGGGAGGTTTGCTACGAAAAATGGGGTTCTGAGAATTGTTTAATAAAACTTTGATTAACAGTATATTGTATTTAAATTTCAGACAAAAAGAATCTTATTTTCTTAGAAAACATCCCAAATATTATGTTTTAACTATGCACTTCAATTCCTTTAAATTGAACGAAAAAATATACATTTTATTAAAACATAACGCTTAAATAAATTTTACATTAATTAAAATGTTGGATATTTCAATTATTTTGAAGAATCATTATATATTGTGATTGATAAAGAATTTGCATTCTGTATTATTGTTTGTTTACCATTATGAGAGCACAAATTCTATAAAATAAAATAAAATAAAAAGATCAAACTAGGGAAAACGGAATCCGTCGTTATTTATTCAATTTTATTTTTACTAAATAAATATAATTTATAATATATGATTACATCATTTATTATTCTGACATTAGCCTAACCAGCTATGCAGCTGCATGAATCAAAATATTCAATCAGAAAATCTCGGATTATGCAAAATTATTTACTTACTTACTTTATTGTCCGGAGCAAAAAAAAAAAGAGCATGTTGATAGTAACGTTAGGTTATGAAGTATGCCATTTGTGAAGGTGTCACTTCCTTGGCGATTTATGTATTATCATACCGTAATAGATTAAGTTCTAAATTATTTAAATTATTTTTAAGCAAATTAAATATTTTGAAGTGCATTTTTTTCAAAATTAAAATGTAATATTTCATCCACACCAAAATAAAAATATTTGATCATATTGAATGCCAAAGAAATTTTCATTTCACCACCGTTAATTTATTTATCTCAAATTTATCAAAAAGGGCGTAATAATCACTTAACGAATGATACATCGTTCTAAACTTGAGGGAGATCTGGAGTGTCGATCACCACCAAAAAAGTCACAAAATTAAAAAATAAACTAAACCAAAACATGTCTAAAATTGAACATCATGCCGATGCTAATCAATTGATTGGTACATTATTTATACAAACAGTTTAGAGTACTTTTTAGAATTCAATATTTCACTTATTAAAAATATATTTTTTTTATTTTTAGCGTTAAAGTATGTTAACATTCGCTATGCAAAATAATCCTAAGATAATCCAAATTCTAAAGATACTTTATTAATAAGAAAAGTATACTTACTAGATTATAATATGTCAAGATGCATTATTGTAAAAGGTCAAACTAATAGTATTTTACCAAGTTCTTTACAAATAATCTGCTTAAACTAATATATAAAACTTTACTCTCTTACCTTCATCTTACCTTCATTTTACTTTTACTATTATCATGCTATTTTTATTTTATGTTTTATTCTTCTTTAAAGCAATAGGATAATATGGGTTAGTACGTACGAAAATCATGCTGCGGGACTATATAAATCATATGATCAAAACCTGATTTTTGTATGTTCTAACCCATATTCAAATTTTTATATATTCATAAAAATAAAAAAAAAATAATCAATCTACTTATTTATTCATTTGATGATTTTCATGCAGTTATAAACAACAAAGATGCAAGATAAAAGAAAAGGCCTTATAGCAATTATATATATTATCTAACCTTTTTTCAAAAAATGAAATATTGTGAGTACAGGTAAAAAAACAACTTCTATTTATATATAATTTTTATTAAATTCATAATAAGCCTATTAATGATGTAAAGATAAATCTGATAAAATACATAGATTGACTATAATTTTTAATACTTCTATAAATACTTTTATAATTTAAGTATATCTTGAATAATTGAACAATATAAAACTATAATATCTGATTATTATGTTAAAACTATCAAATTACACTTATAGAATATGCAGAAAATGCAATAATATTAAATATTAATACTATCATAACTATCATAATATTCATACAAAATGAAAACTAAATACAACTATTATTTTTATTACATATTATCTAATAATAATTTTAATGAATCTTATCACTACTTGATATATATTTTTGAATGTAAATCAATAATACTAGATTAGTCAATAATGAGTTGATAAAATTAAATCTTAATAATTAATTTATAATGCTTTATAATCTTTTATATAATTAAAGTTAGAAATTTAATTCAGTTGTTAATAATATTAGATTAAAAGAATTAACAATACATAGTTATAATATTAGACTAAAGAAAAAATATAACACTATTACTGTAAGATTTATATTATTAAAATATTATTAAAATTAATTTTCATATAATAGTTGGATTGGTTAACTAATAAATTTATTTGTTTTATAATATTAAATAGATTTATTATATATATCTTATTTATTATATTTATTATATTAATTATATATATTAAATAGTATTTATTTATCTCATTATATTATATTTTTATATAATTTATTTATTTTATATAAATAGTATATACTTTTCCTTGAGTTGAAAGATAACTCAAGATATTATTTTAAAAATAAATTAAAGTTTAATAAAGATACCTTTTGCTATATTTTTATATAAGCATGATCAGTACTATACATTTATCTAATTAGATATATAAACTTATATACGTTTAATTAGACATTATATATATTCAAATTCAACATTAGGCATTGTTAATATGCGATTTTGATAGATCACTACAGTTAAATAAGTTGTTTGAATGTTGTCTCATTTTAATATATATAATAATCTAATAATTATTCCTAAATCTTAGACTTATAACTAGTATTACTCAAACGTATTAAAATTATATTTCACTAAGACTTGTATATTATTACAAAGATTCACAACAGTTGTTATTGTCACAAAGGCTTGAAATATCACTTTGACTTATGAAAGTTTATAATATTACTTAAATTTATAAGATCATACAGATGTATAATATCATTCAAACGAAGATGTGAAATATCACGCAGATGTATAAGATAATTAATAAAACAGTTTATTGATAAATAATAAAAGAGAAAAATAAGAAGTAAAGAAGTAAAAGAAATAAGGTAAAAAAATAAGAAAAGAGGATTTTGTGAAAACAAAAGAGCATACAACTATTAAAATGTTTTGAGAGAATTATTGCATACAGCTGAATTGAATTCTACCTTTCTGCAAGTTCTAAAACTATTGTATTTATATCTTTTTAATTACATATAGCAACAAATTAAATCAACAAATTAAATATATTAAATAAACAAATTATATCTATTATGCTAATTATATTAATAATTTCAATAATGTTAACAATGTCAATAATGTCATTATATCAATAATGTTAAGAATATCATGTAATATATGTAGATCAATTTGTAGATCAATCCTGCAAATTATTCTGTTGATTAATTCTGCAAATCTCTCTATAGATTAATTTTGCAAATCACTTTGTAGATCAGTTTACATTATAATTGTAATAAAGTTTTATAATTAATTTAAAGAAATAAATTAAATTATACAATTCTTCTTTATAGAACCTAATTAATAATACCTATTTATAAAGATTTATTCTCATAGATTTATAATAAAATATCTTTATGTATTAATTACAAATATTAAATATTATTATAGAAATAATTACTCATAGTAGTAACATAAAATTTTGATAGTATTGAAATAAAATTTGGATTTTTATATAAAAATACTAAATATATATTATATTAAATAACTTACTTAATAATCTTATTTCTTTGATTTTAATACCTATGAATATTTTGCATAATTAAACTTTATAATATTTGCAAAAGTAAATAAGCTGGAGATAAATCATTTATAATAAAAAGATATAAAACTAATAAAAATTAAATTTTTACTTAATATACTAAATATTTTTTAATAAAAAGGTTCAAATTAATATTTTATTCAAAAAAAGATTTTTTAAATTTTGTATATTTCTACTATATACTACTTATATAATTAATAAATATTAATAAAATTATTTAGAAAATTTTAATTTAATAAATTTATACAATTAGAAATATATTTGATCTTATTTAAATAATTTGATTAAGTTTGTAAAAATATATTTTATTCTATTTAATAAATTTAAGAATAAATAAATTTAATATTTTTATCAATTATTAATAAATTCTAATTAAATTCTTAATAATTTTTATTAATAATACTTTAGTTATTAGTATTAAAAAAAATGTTTTAAAGTATTTTTTAAATTTTTTAAGTTTAATTATATAAATTAGCTAAAGATAATAGATTAAGTTAATTATTTTTAATTTTTTATTTAATTTTAAACTAAGTAATAATAAATTTATTACAAATATGATTTATTTTAATTTATGATTAACTTATTAATTATATGTTTTATAATACAAAAAAATTTAATAAATTATTTATTTTGTAAATATTTATTATAAAAATATTAACAAATATTGATAAAAAAAAAATATTAATTGTTATTAGTAATTATTTAAATAAAAATAAAATATTAAATCTATTAAGATTAATATAATATATAATAAATTAAGATTAATACAATCATAATTTAAATTTTAGTGTAACTTAGTAACTTTTAAAGAGTATAAGATAAGCAAAACTTAAATTCATAAGTGTCTTATATAACACCTGTCAAATTACATTTAAAAAATTTCCTATATAATACAAAATAATACAAAGATATTATTAATAAATTTATCAAAATTGATACTTTATTATTCAAATTAAATTGATTATGTATATAAAAGTTTATTTTGATATAAATATATCATTTGAATCGATAAATTTTTATTATAACCAAAGATCAAAATCCCGAGGTTATAATTCCGAATATTATTATTAATTGCGCCCCTTTGGTTATGCAGATAATTTAAGAAATATTAAGAATATTATCATGGGATTAACAAAGTTTATTTGAGTTTATTAAAATTTTGCTTTTAAAGTTTAGTAAAAAAATCTTATTTTAAATATTTTTTTTTCCAACCATTAATAAAATGGAAAGAAAACTTAAAAATTATTAATAGAAATTTAATAATATTGTCGATACGAATCGAATATTGTAATTAGCTAACCAGAATTATACTACGGTTCTTAATCAATTTCCTTGACTTTTTTTACTGATATTTTCACAGCATAATTGACCAATCAGATAAATCATATAATAAAAGTTAATTTAATAACATAACATTAAAATTATTATAATATTAAATTATTAAAATATATCATATATAAAATAATTTTAATAACCTATTTTTGAATATAAAAAGAAACATTCGAAAAAGTACAATTAGTAAATATTGCTAAGGATTTGAATTTAAAGAAATTTTTTGATAATGTTCACCTTCACGCATAGCTAGTATTATAGATAAACGGAAAAGAATATTATATAAAAGGTTTTAGTATTATTTTAATTAACTCTAGAATATTGTAAAATTTGTTGGATTTGATAGCTATTGAACCAGATTTTTCGCCAAATCCATGTTCTTGCAGATTGTGTAATTTGCCATGTAAAACATCATGTAAATCAGATATTATCATGCAAATTAATATGTGAATAGCTGAATGATGAAGAAGGTGTTGCTAGAGGTTGGAACCGGTTTTGTTTTCACAAACCGGTTTAAACACTTTTTTAATTTGAAACCCGAATTTAAACCGAATTTAAAATAAAACCGATTCAACGAGTATTCGGTTATAATAAAACCGAAAAACCGAATTGCGATTAATTTTATTATTGCAAATTCATAAAAATCTCACAACAAAAAAATACAAAAACTTCGAAGGAAAAAATTGTTAGTAAAGAATAAAAATAAAATTTGAAGGAATGATTTCGTAAGGATCTAACAAAACAAGTCAAGTATAATTTGCATGAAATAAATGGAGAAATTAAAAAAAAAAAGTCGCGAAAATTGGATCATCCAAATAAATAATTTTCTTTTTATAATATAAAAATAATTAAAACCTTACCATTATCGAAATTATATAATATCTAATGTTGCATAATTATCAAATGTTAACAAAACATACAGTAAATATCATATTCTAGGGTTTGATTTTAATGCATAAACCGGTTCAATCTGTTTCATTAAATTTGAATTTTCGCAATAAACCGATTTTATTAAAACCGGTTTTCGAATCTGAATAAAATAGACTCGGCTCTAAAGATAAATTCTATAATTTGTTTTTGAAGCTGCGATATATTATTAAGTTCAGTCAAAGGAACAAAATAACCAGAATTTTTACGAAATTCATAGTCCAGCATTTAATAGATTTTTCAGTATTTTTTTACTTTTGCTTTTTCCCGATAATAGGAAGCTTTTTCTTAAGAAATATCTTGAACATTGTTTGTAATAGAATCGTCAGAAATTAAACTAGCTGCTATTTTGAACACTTGGAAAAGGCATATTTGATGCTGAAAAAATTCTAAAAAAATTGGATAACGCTAACAAAATTTATTGAAGTAAAAAAATGATAACGCTATAAAAAGATAGATAAAAAAAAGTTAGTTGTATATGACGATATACGGAACCGTGAAATAACTATTACTTATATTATAATTTTAGAATTATGATCATTCGGGAATTTGAGTTGGCAATATTTTAATATAAGCATGCAAGTTGATGAAGAAAAAAATCGTTTTAATCATTAGATAAATTTCCGAAAATTCGAAATCAGTTAGGATTTTTTATTCGATTTACGTTAGAATAACATTATTATGAAATCTTGTTTTCTATTGTGTAACTCATGACAACCTTTTCATTGTCGTACAAAAAGCCAAAGCAAGCGTACAAAATTCGTTAAATGGATTTAGTTAATTAATAAACAAACAAAGTATTGTTATGCATTACTATGTTTATTATGGTTTTTATTTATAAACAAAACTGAAGATTATCTTCCACATGACGAAAAAATTCACGAGAATTTTACCAAAAAAAAAAAAATTAAATTGATTTTAAAATAAATGTATCTATCTTAATGTTATGCTTTAAAAAGCGCTTAAATACATATAAATGTAAAGTTTGGTTGATTTTGCCATATGTTATCTATATAACGAAAAAAAAAACGAATAATAAATAAAGAAAATAAATATAATCCAGATTTTGACTATCGAACGAATCGTTTATGAAATATTTTGTGATTAAAAATTTTTGCCTATATTTTACTGTATTAAAGATTATAGTATCCAAGGTATATATTGGCTTTGGGGTCAATGGCCGTTGGATCATATGCATCAGCTATATCGAAGAAATTTTGATCGTAAAGAAATTGATGTTGTCTTTCCCATAAGTTAGAAACTTCATTGATAACGAAATCTGACTCGGTCAAAGGGTTAAGGTTCGCACTTTCACTAATTTGAGCTTCATCCGTGTCTCGAGTGATGTGATAGTTTCTTCGTAATTTTTGTTTTTCATCTTCCGATAAATTGTACCATTCTTTTGCAATATATTTGCTGTAAGTTGTCATTGGCATCTTATGTGGTTTATAACGTTTCATTAATTTACGATATTCAATGAAAATGTTTGGTTTTCTCTTTCTCTGAACCTTACTTCTCTGCTCAATTTTAATTGATGTTTCGGGTTCAAAAAAGTGTAATTTCATCATTCTATTCAAGAAATGTTATAATAACGGAAATTTATTCAGGTCGAAACGTTAAAATTATTTGTGTGAAATAGAAAGAAAAGAATCTCGTATATACTGTAAAAACAAGAATACCTTTTCTTGTTGTTTATATCGTATAAATTTTATTCTTTTTTTCGGAAGGAAGAGAACGGTCAATTTATATTCATCAGAACTTATAAATTATGTAATATAGCTGGCTACATTAGGATGATATTATTTATCATTTGAAAAGCCATCCTTCCTTGTATTGCTTTAAAAAGTTTTGAAAGGAAAGTATTGTTCACAATCGCGAATGTTACTTTAATTTAATTGATATGGATAAATTTATTAAAAGAAATAAAAATTTTTTACTTACCGACATAATTGTGGGAGAGTTTTTTTTTAATTTAAACAAATTGAATTGCAATTTTTTAACCTTGTTTTGATTGATATAAAGTCTCGGTATCAAATACACAGTTGTTGGGAGCCCATCGCCGTAAATAATAAACAAATAAAACAAATAATTAGCCAAAAAAAAAACTTTTGCGATTTATTTAAGCAATTTAAAATAGAATAATATCATGCGGTACGATCCAAATAAACATCTTCAAAGATACATATACTTGAATGATTTTAAAGGGGTACATCATCGCTCATTGTGTTATTTAACCTTAATTCTTGCTATTAGTCAATAACTTTTAAGGAATAATACGGGTACAATGCGTAACGATATTATTGTTTCAAAAGCATATGATTACTAAATTCTGGTTCGGACACGAAATTCATCGTATCTTTGCTTCGAAGTAAACGATAGATTTTCCTTATTAAATAATAAGTAATCGATCGTCATAAAAAATTACCTCAATTTCTAAAATTTTTCCAATTTATATATAAAAGTTTTTAACGTAACAATATTTTTTGTACAACTTTAAATGTTGACGGAGATCAATATATTCATTGTTTCCGTTTGAAACGATCCAAATTGGACTTATTTTTTTTAATTTGGTATTCTTTCAGAGAGGAAATTGAATTCCGATTATTCGTTGTCAAAAAAATTTTTTTCATTCATATGATGATGAAAATATTTATTTCCAGATTCTTAAAATTTTTTAAAAAAAATAAACACAGACTAACCTATAAAAAATAATTACCATTTATGATTTTATTTACACATGCGCCCATATAAATTTGCTGCTTAAGTAAACGTTTCAGTTTTATAGGAAGATTAAAAAGGTGATAATGAATACGTCTAGATTCGATTCTGTCAATGGATTTTTATTACAAATCTATGATATCCCGTTTACGCTATACCTTATTCGTCTTTCTCCGCTTTTTTCTTCCTATTTTTATTGCGTATTTTATCAGTAAATAAAGTTCGATCAGATCATAACAATTTGGATTACGCCTAACAAACTTTTGTGATTGATAAAAAGATGAAAGAAAAAGTGCATAATCAGGTCAAGTAAGATGTCACTTTCGTTATCAAGGAAAAAAAAATTATCAGGTCAATAAAACATTTTTTTCATTCAATTTAATATGATAGTGAATGAAAGAACCACATGCCGACATAAAGATTACACGAAATGACGAATTAAACCATAAATCAGGTCAGCTGTTAATAAAAAAAGTACAATCCTTCCTATCTGTCAAGAAAAAAATAACCAATTGAATTCGTGCAAAAAGATGAAACCAATTGAAGAATCTTACTCGTTACATGAACTCTACTAAGTAATTTCATGAAAAGTAATAATTATGCAGCAGCATTTAAAATAGGCACACTTAAGAGTTACTAGGCTCATGGTTGCCACAAAACAAATGTTACACGTAAACCAAAAGAACATTTGGGCGAGGTTTTTTATAATAAAATGATCGCCATTAATTTGATTGGTATTTGATGCTAGCGATCATGTTTCAAACTTTTAATCCATCCGAAATTATGTGGTTTTTTTCTTCATGACGATCATAGCAATATTTGTTTGTTAAAATGTCTAATCAAAATTGCACGAAGTCTTAGCTAATAATATATCTTGGTTTATGGCTGAAAATAATTTTTTTTCAAGTTCTTAAAACGGTATAAAAAAACCTGATTAAAAAAAACACGTTCTGTCTTAATTTGTGATATAATGAACGATATTACGCTAGTATAAATTATAAATGATTGTTGATAAAAGATTCAACTTTTTTTACTGATTAAGGTTGTTTGTTATAATTATAAATTTCATATTATGAATTATATCCAAAATTTGCATCTTAAATTATAAATTAACATAAAATTTATTTCTGTTCTAATCAATATATATAATAACTAACGAAGAGAGAAAATCACTAAATAGATTAATGATTTCATTAATTATGGGACACACGGCAAAATTTTTATCGAGCACTTGACAGCAACCAGGACTCGGGTTATCTAAATAATAAATATATAAGTTGTAATTTGCATGTTTTTTAAATTGTAATAATTTAATTGTTAAAATAATAACTTTTATTCAGAAATATAATGTTTTTATTTAAGTAAAAATAAAATTATAATTTTTCGATATTCAAAATACACATACCACAAATTATATATTAGAAACAAACTTGTTTTTCCATTTACTTTTATATGATAAATATGATATTCAAGTCGATATTTTTTCTGGCATTTTCCCCCTTTTCTATTGTAACGGGCTCAAGAAAACTCGTAAACAATATATTTTTTTATTGTAAATGTATTTTTAAATAATTATTATCTTTAAAAGTAAAATTAACAATAAATTTGATAATAAAATTTAATAAAATTATTAAATAAAGTGCAAGTTGATATATATAAAAAAATAATGTTAAATAAACATTTAAAAATTTAGCTATAAGTCAATATCTAAAAAAAATTGATTTATAGTTTTTTTTTTTTTTATAAAATATATTTAAAAAACTATTTTCTATTACAAACATTTAAAAAAAATTGAGTTAATTAATAAATATTTATATTATTTAAATTTAAACAATACAAGAATAATTCATATTTATTTAGATAATTTTATAATTCTAAATCTAAATTTAAATGAATTTAATTAGTTTTATCTGCCATGACAAATTCTGTAGTCGGTTCAGTCAGCCGTTATACACTTTTAGATTCAGCCGTTGACTGTAGCGACCATACCATAATTGTATTATACATATCTTAAAATTTACACAAAAAATTTTATAATTTAAATTAATGTTGCAAAAGTAGATAATTATAAGTTTCTTCATAAATAGAATCCCATTCGACTAAACTTTGAAACTACTATTTGATTAAGAATTTCCCAATATTATCAAATTTGGAACATCGACTCAGTCACCGCTCAGTCATTTGAAATTTCCCAACGGCTGGTACTACTAGATTTAATAATAAATTCTATGGAATGTTGAATAATATAAAATTTGTTGAATTGACCTTGGACTCGCACATTGGCACTCGTGTAACGCTTACTCGAGTTATAGATCATATTCGAGTAACTCAAGTTAATTTTTAAAATATTAAGTTGTTTTATACAAACATATTTTTAAGATGATAATCTATAGCCTAGTTAAATATGAACTTTGGTTTTTTTATTAAGTACAAAAATCAAGTTCTAGAATGTTTTTATCAAATTTTATAAATTCTGGCATAAGTTGCGCAGTAAGACAAATTGTATTTTTAATGTTGTGTAATTGTGTCATGCGACTGTGACAATCACATGTGGCATTATTGTAATGTGAAAATAGTTTAAAAAGATTTTTTTGTTAGTCCAAAATAAGTGATATTAAATTATTTTTTCTCTATAATTTGCTAATATAATAAAAGATTTTACTGTTAAAATAATTGATATTTTATTGTTTTTTGATAACGAAAGTTGATATAGTATGTAGTTAAAAATTTATAAATAAAAATAAATTTTTCTAATTTGAAATCGATTTGGAAAAGATGTAACCCTTTATAAGTGAAGGGCGTAAATATATTGTTCTGAATGATATAAAGTCGTTTTAATTTTTTTTTTCATTTTAAATCATCCAGTCATAAATAACCCCAAAAAAATATTTGATACGCAAATAAAAGTACGTAATTAGTAAAAAAAAAATATATTAAGAGTTAAATAAACAATCGAAATCTTCAAATTAGTCAAATTATAGTGTTACTCATCACAAATTATTATGACAAGCAGAGGCATAAAGAGATGGAGGGAAAGATTTTTCTGGAGTTAACACAAATAACATATATTACAGTACAGTAAATTTTCCTCCGCTTCGCTCCGGACAACAACTATTACAATAAAGTAAACTAACCTCCGCTTCCTCCGGACAAATAAAATACATTCGAGCGTGAAATGTTCATAAATCGAACACATCATTGTTGTGCACAAAAAAAAAAAAACGAAAGAAAATAGAGACAATGTATTGTTTTTCTTCTATTTCTTATAATTACTTTTTTAAAAAATTCATTGATGTGAACCTATCTTGTTTCATTTTATCGAGCCCGAACTCATATTAGATCGAAAAAGACGAGGAAAGAGAGGAGCAAATATGTTTATTACTTATCGTAAAGAAATGATAAAGAATAAACCATATGGTCAAGTAATAGCAAATTAGTTTACAATGGTGGAAAGAACTATCGGAAGTTGAAGAGGATAAATTACAAAGAATATATCAGATAAATAGAGATAAAAGACCTCCTCATTTAAATTAGCCGATAATATTTTGGATAAATTATGGGTGATGAAGAGCTAAATAGCCAAGAAAGGACAGATATGTAGAGAAAAAAACGCAGATGAAATCAATAAATTTTCCAAGGTATTGAAACAAGATTGTTATTTCACTCAAAGTCCTTCAAATTTTTCTTTATCAAATAATGACGATATCAAGGAATTTTCTAATAATAATAGTATTGAATAGGTAACTTTTTACGTATCCAAAAAAGGAAATTGATATGTAAAACGTGATTCAAATAATAATTCGAGTAGAAAAATATTATTTTCATTAGTTGACGATCTATTATTTTA